TTTCTCAAGCAACGATAATATTAATCCAACAAGCAAAATCTACATCTCTGTCAGACTTCTAAACCTGTTGAAAATCATTAAGTGCAAGAAATTCAAAAGAACTGCACAAGCATCATAGATATCTCTATCCTATGAACAACTCATGGTATTTCAATTAAGAGCTTATTCAATTATCACCTCTCAGTCTCAAATCAAATACAAAATCATGTAATAGTTGGCCAAACAATCACAAGCATTAAGAATAAATTGAAATACTCAGCATATATGGATTAAACATCAATTACTTAAAAATAAGATTGAGAATTCAAACATTCATAATCCGGCTACATCGTAGCCCTAGAAAAAGGAATTAGTTCATCTCTAAACAAAATAAATTCCTAAACAAAGTCTTAATCATTGGAAAGGAAAGAAAAGAACTAGTTTGGAGTTGAATTGAAGCATCTCCGTCTCTAGATTTGAGCCGTTCTTCTTCTTCGTCCCAATTCTCCTTTTCTTCTCTTGAATACTCTCTCAAAAGCCAGCCGTCATTTCACAGTCTAAAAATCCTTTCTAATTGCCTTAGAATCATATATTTATATGTTTCAGAGCATTAGGGTCAAAACGGGTAAGTTTTCTCGCGATTGGCCTTCAAAATGCGCAATTTCTCGCGTCGTAGCGCCGTGGTGCTGAGTTTCTAGCGCTGCGGCGATGTTATGTAAAATCCCTGGGCGCTGTAATTGGCGCCTAAGCGCTGCCCATTTTGCCCCAATGTACTAATTCCGTCGGATTGCAGCAAATTTTGTCCAAAACCTTCCAAATCATAGACTTTCACCTAACCTTCAAACAAAGAACAAAAACACACATAAAAACTAACAAAAACCTCGAAAACTAACTAGCTATTAAGTGTAAAACGATACTAAATGAGTGAGTAAAACTCACTCATCACTGCTTCATGATTGCAATTGAATAACAGGATCTCAATCCAGGCGTGTTGCATAATCACAGCAAATGAGCAATACTGAGTAAGTATGCGCAATGAATAAAATTAAATTTTCTTGTTACAATTAGTTATCGACTACTGCTGGCCACAATTAACTATTTCCAAGTCCCTTTTGGTTTTGGATCGAAAAATACTAATGCTACGTTTAGTAGGAGAGATGGAAAATAGAAAAGCTTAAGGGTGCGTTTGGAATTCGTTTCAAAATGATTTTATTTTTTGTATGCAAATGAAAATGAAAACGTTTTCAATCTCAGATATAAATTATTTTTGAAAATGCGTTTAATAGTTTTATCAAGAAATTAGTTTTAGTATAAAAAACTCATTAATGTCTCTCTCTATCTGCGATCGAGAGAGGAGAAAATGAAAATAAAAAATAAAAAATGACTAAAAGTCGTTTTTCATTTCTCTCTCATTTTACACTAAACAAAAAAAATCGTTTTCATTTCTTTTTTTGTCTTTATTGCGCCAAACGTCATTTTAGAAATGTTTTCATTTTTTCTTTCTCGATAAACGTGAAAAATAAAAAAGGATTAATTCTAAACACGACCTAAGATTCCCTATTTTCGATCTATCAAACAACTTAAGATTTCTTTTTCCTCTCTAAATCCTCCTCCAATTTGTTTTCTCTCTTTTTCGCTCTACCAAACATTGGCTAAGAGCTTGTTGGGTACAAGGAAAAAGTAAAAGGAGGAGAAGGGGTGAGGGATATTAGTGGAAAGACAATGATGCAATTGGTTTGAGAGAAAAGAAGAGAAAATGAACATCAGAGAACCTCAATTTTATCTCTTTCAATACGAAGATATTAAAAGGAAAGAATCCAACCAAGTACACTAAAAGAAAGATCATCCCTTTTCTCTTCATTTTCCTCCCATAAGTTGTTGTTGTATAGATAATTCATCTAGCTAATAAATTTTTTTCCTTTCGATTTCATTTTCCTCCGGTCAAACAAGCATATATATAAACACATGCTACTGGTCTTGACATTATCCAAGTTTCCAACTAATGATATGATTTTCATGTATTGCTATTATTAACAAAAAATTAAATTCTATGTATATATAGTTACCTTTGACAGTTGTTTGAATTTATAATTTATATTAATTTTCAAATTACGCAATCTCTCTCTTGCTTTTTGGAGATTTGTCTTGAATAGCTTATACAATTTTGTGATTGAAATTTGCATTTATATAGAGCTTATTCTTGTGCTGCCTAGTAATAAATTCTTTCTCTTTTCATAGTCCGTAGATGCAGTCATAATATTGTCAAACCACTTAAATTTTTATATGCCTTTCTCTTTTCTTTTCTTCTTCAATTTATGTGATGTATTATTGGTAAGGATTACAAGCTCAAAGTGAAATGAGTAACCAGATCCATCTAATACAAAATTGATGATTTCAAAGATAACACCATATTACTAGTAAAAGATAAAATAAACGCAAATTTCACATTATTTAAACACACAGATTAATATAAATTTATAAGGATATTGGCGCTCCACGAAGAGTATAATTAGATAAATAAACAGTTCTATTATCATCATCAAAATTGGTAGCTATTGCATATGTAGCATCCTTTTTTTATTTTATTTCAACTAGTAATACATACTGTCCAGATACAGAAAGATATATTGTTTTCTGAAAAAAGAAATAAAAAAAAAATCTATAAGCAGCAAGTTGTATAGGCATATATATATATATATATGTATGTATATATTACTTTTCAACACAAAAGCTTAAATCAAGACTCTTGTTTGCACCGGGCTGTACAAGAGAAGGGCTAGGCTGTAGCTATAGAATGAAGATTTAGCGAGCGACACTTCTGGACACGCTCCTAAGAAACGAAGAGGTTTTGGTAATCTCTCGGAGTGGTTTGTCCGTAAATCTGATTAAATTATAGGCACCACCTCCAAGTATGGTGCCAATAATTGGGCCCACAATATAAATCCACAATCCTTTGTAAACTTTCATCACCACAGCTGGCCCTATACTCCTTGCTGGGTTCATAGATGCCCCAGTAACCGGCCTGCAAATGCGTAAATATTCAACAATTTTATGCCACAAATAAAGTTATTGAAATATTTCATGTCAATGGATTACACTCTCTTATGAACAAATTACCAACTTACGAAGAAACTAATTAATTAATTACCCGGCGATGAAGACATTGAGTAGTATTGTCATTCCGATAGCAATTCCTGCTAATTCTCCTATCTGCAATGTGGGAAAAAGGAGGGAAAAAAAGATCAATTGGTTAGTTTAACGTTTCATTTAAATGTGCTCTTTAAAGCTAGCTCAAATGGTTGTGTGTAAGTATCTACATGTGTCCATTAATTATAATTTCATTTCTTGTTAATAAAATGAGAGCATAGGCCCGATACCATTTTAAAAACAAAAGGTTTCATTAAATGAGAACTCCAAGTAATTATTTACATATATTAAAAGAGCCGTGCGGAAGGCTCACTCTGCATTTTTAATCGTAAAATAACACACCGTTTTGGTGCTTAGTTTTTTCTCTCTCTTTTTTCCCACTTTTTGTCCTTCTTTTTTTTTTTTTTTTTCCTTTCTTCATTTTATTTTTCTTTCTTTTTATTTTTCTTCTTCTTTTTAATCCATTTTTCTACTATAACCCTTTTCTTTCTTTCATTCTTTCCGTTTTCCTTGTTTGTTTCTTTCTTTCTTTTTACCCCCATTTGCCTAACGCAGTTTCTTACGCTAATGTTCCCCTAAATATTTCCTTTTTGTTCCTCTTTTTTTCCCTTTATTTTAATTTTATCGCTTTCTCTTGTAGATTTCCTAAATCCCATATCTCAATTTTCTCATCCCAATAATCTCCTTCATTGTGATCATTTGTTTTGTTATCTTATTATTTAGAGTGTTTCGTGTATTTAATCATTATATACTCTTTTTGAATTCTTAGTAATTTATATATATATATATATATATATATTGTTGTTCGTATTCTTACGTTATGAAAATTTCAATTATAGCTGAATTCGTGCATTGAACATAACTAAACTAGTGTTAAAAAAAAAGGAAACAAATAGAAGCGAATTTCATTTTCCAAGTAATTTAAACAGCAACATTATCCGTCAATTCAAACTTAAGTACTTTTTACCTAGCACCAAGCTGTTCAAAAGCAAGGGAATATGACCTACTAGATACATGTATACAAATACACACACACACACACATATATATATATATATATATGTAAGAATATGTATATATATATATATATACACGCATGGTATTATTTTCCAAAACATTTCCGGGAATGTGAATTTTGATCAACCCCTGGAAATTAGTAAATTAATTTATCTGATGACCTCGAAACCTGGAAAAATTGGTTATATGTAGTATACATATAAGCGACTAAAACTAATGCAGCGAAAACATACACACACGTGTGTGTATATACTTGAGTGTGTGTGTGTGTGTGTGTGTCTATATATATATATATATAAGGTATATATATATATATATATAAGGGGATTAAAATGAAGTACTAACTGCTCTATTATCAGTGGCAACGCCAGAGACGACGAACATCAAGAGAAAGGAGATGATGATCTCAAAAACAAGAGACTGGATGTCATATCCAGCTGGTGGAACAGTTCCAAAGTAAAAATCCTGATCAGTTACGTCGAACAGAAGGCATAACGTTGCACTCGCTAGAATTGATGCTAACACCTGCACTGTTATGTACATAGGCACCTGCATGCATTGCACGTACATGCACCAAATATCATAAAAAAATATTATTAATTAATACACATGGATTAGTGGACATATTATTATAAAAAATCACTTAAAAACACTATTGAATTCTCAAATGGGTCGCATATTGTGGGATTTATCTTTCATAATTACACAAATGGGTCACATAGATTCATCTTTTACAATTAGTGTATGATGTTCAATATCACCGGTAACCAACATTGTTCATTGTCAAATGATATCTATTACTGTTCGTTTAAACACCAGTATATGATATTTGAGATTGTAACATTAATTAATAGTATATATAAATATATACACACATATATGTGTGTGATTTGTTTTTTTCTATATATAGACATTTGGATGGAATGGAGAAGCTGCCTGTTTGGGAGGGAATTGGCGAAAAATGGCGAAAGTGATGGTGACGGCGGGGTTGAAGTGGGCGCCGGAGATGTGGCCAAGAGAATAAATCATGACCATCACAATCAAGCCCCAAACCACACAAATCCCTGGGAATGTTACGGAACCATAGATCTTGTTCACCACTACAGAGCCACACCCGGCAAATACCACGAAGTACGTTCCGATGGCCTCTGCAATGATCTGACCATGACACAGCAAGTTAACACAAATCTATACACACACACACACATATATGTCATCCACTAACAGTTATGCATATACATACATACATAAATACATATGTCATAACTTCCTCATGTTGTGTACCTTTTGGATTAGTTGAACAACCTCCGAAGAAGAGCATAGCCCGGAATTTCTATTGCTTGGCGCTTCACTACAACTACCTTCTTCAATCTTTGATAGGCTTCTTGAAGAAGACATTTTCTAGCAAAATTGCAATGTAACTAATAAGATGATTATCCAACAAGACACTCACTCTCTCTCTCTCTCCCCCCCTCTCTCTTCTCTCTCTATCAAGGCAATACGAGCTTATGGGTAAGACATTAAGGCAACTACCTAAGGACCCCCTTAAGTCAAGGCCCCTAATTATTAGGATCATCAACTAATTACATTTACACCTCAAAATATTGAAGATATTAATTAATTTTCTTTAAAAAAAAATCCTATTTCTTAGGTCTTAGCTTAATTCCATACAAATCACAAAATATATTAAAACATTTTTAATGTTTCTTGATATTAAATTTTTAACATTTATTCGTTTTTTTCCCTAACAGTTGACTATTTATCTTTTTAATGTCTTGCACCATATTTGATATTTTATTCAAACATCATGTAATCCTCTTTTTTTTTTTTTTTAAAAAAATGTTCATTTGGAAAACAAGAGAAAATGAAAAAAAAAAAACACTTAATTTTGCTATAGCTATTCAATATATGCTTTTAGTGTTACAATTCAATAAAAAACACTTAATTGTTAGTCTTACAATTCAATATATGCTTTTAAATTGTTGTTAATCTCACTCTCTACCCAAAAAAAATTCTTCTGAAGAGTTTGGAAAAAGAAAGATCAATTATTCATTCTCAATATCGATTATAGTCTTTTCTTATAACTATTATATTGTCTTATTATATTCATGATTATCGTTGATAACGAGAATTCTTATTGTGTTAAGGTTGTACATTTAGTAAGATGTCTTATTAGATATAAATATGGTTCGAGAAATTTAAGAAAAATTAATTGAATCACTCAAAAAGAGATCTTTAAAAATTTTCAAAATTAATATAAAAGATAAAATTACAAGTAATAACTTATTGGGTTATTTAGCACATTTTCTCCCCTACACTACTTTTCAGGCCGTTCACTTTGCCCTGTACACTTTTAATTTTAGCAATTTATCCCCCCTACACCCAAAAAAATTAAAATTAAAAGTAATAATAAATGGTTAAATTGTCATAATATGTCCTATTTCTTAAAGAGGTAAGTAAATAAGGAACATTTCTTAATTTTCCATGGTCGCGGTTTTCACTTTAAGAATTATCTATAAATTTATTTTAAGATTAATTACAGAAAATTTCTCACAAACTATGATCCGTATAACCCTTATAATGTTTGCCTCCCCAAATGTTTATTTATAATATCCATCCCCTCCGGTTTTTATTCCGTAATAAATTTGCCTCTCTTCTTATTTTGAATGACGGAAATAACCATGTGAGTGGCTCGTGACCAAAAAATGAAGGGTATTACTATAAATGCATTCTTTTCTTCTAGGTTACCATGCGAAAAGGATGAAAAACAAAAGGAAAATAAGCTAGGGGGAAGTTTCGGGTTAGAGAACTCTTGAAAAAATTGACAAAAGTTGATGGAGCATTGAAGCTCCATTGCATATTAGAGCACTCCTAATGGCTGCAACAAAGGGAGATGTTGCAGAATAATTACGATCGATAGAAAGTCTATTTATTCATATATTTTTTTCTCATTCATACTTGTTTATTTAGTTAGTGTCTTGCCTTTTACCAGTTGATTTGAGGTCCATAGGGGATGGACTATGGTGTTTTGATTGGTTTTCTTGTAGAATTGCTTTTGAGTTAACTGTGGGGTTATTCCGTTCGGGTTAAAGAAAGGGGCTCGTTGGATATGTGGGTATATATAATACCCATATAATACCACAAAACAATAATCAACATAATACCACAAAATTATAAAATAAAAGTAAACAGTTTGTTAGTGTATTTTGTATTTGCTTATTTTTGGTAAATTAGTTGTAAGATTTGTTGACATTGTAAATTGGTAGACCTCTTAAGGAAGTCTTGTTGTCATGTTTATAGGCTGCAAATCAAAGAATTTGATTGCTGAAAATGAAGAGTGGACTTTTTGGAGAAATTGATTGCTTGTAGTCTGCAGGCTGGAGCTTGATTGTATGTGTGGAAAAAGGGTTGTACGCTGGCTATTTTTGTGCTTTCTGTGGGGTGAGTATTTTGAGGTGATAGTGTGATGCACGTGGATGGGTTTTTGAGAAAAATAGAACCTGCAGAAAAGTGGAAGATGGCAGAACATATGTGCGGTTTTGGCTTCTGAAAAATAGAGAGAAAGTGTTGAAAATAGGAGAGACGTTTGTGTTCATGTGAGAATGAGATTGTAATGTTAAGTGTCGTTTGATGTATTGCGACGAATTGTTAGAACACTTTCAAGTTGGTTCTTCAGGAGAAGATTTCTTTGGTTTCGGGAGGAAACCGTCAAGTCGAGTGGTGCTCGCTGATTAAGCTTCCTAAGGAGATTCTAGGCAACGGCGACATTGTCAAGGAGGGAGTCGTTGAGTGTGTAAGACCATTCGGTCCTTTGTAATCTTTTGAACTTAGTGGATTGATCACTGTCTAGACGTGGCTCCATAGAGTAGGTGTGCGCACCGAACTGTGATACTATTTTCTGGTGTCCTTTACGTTTTTGTATTATTTTCCTGCATTGTTGTTTGGGCTAGTTTAATTTTAGATTTTTTGTTAAAACAATATTACAGTAAAGTATTATAACACTCTGTGATATCAGCGACAAAAACGGACCTAACACAGTTTATTAGATTTCTTTCAAAAGATAATCCATGATCAAAAGCAAACGAGCCTGGGCGTGTTAATTTCCTATTTATCTATATAACAGAAATGGCAAGGCCATTTCCTGTTCCCGGAAAACTAGGGATTTCGACCAAGCTCGGCTACTTGTGGCGTTTCATACCACATTGGGATCTTTGTTGCTGGCCTGTGGATTTTGCTCGGACTTTTTTATTCCTCAATCAACATTCTTGGGCTCACTTGATGGGTCCGGTGTAGCCCAGTTTATGAGTGGAAACAAGTAGTATGGGCTCATCAGTACTCAACTAATTAGTATAAGCAACTAATTCTTTTTTTTTTTTGGAAATCCTTCTCCTTAAGAAATTAAGGAGAAATACAAAAATACCACTCAAAATTAGAGAGAAATTAAGCTTTTGTCTTTTTACGCTGAGTTTAAGATTTCGTCCAAACTAACTCATTTAACTCCGCTTTACTCACTTAACAAAAGAAAAAGAAAAATGAGTGAAAGGGTATAAGACTTCCTTTTTCGAGTACCATTTTTAAAAAAATTTCGACTTTTTAGGTAAGGAACTGGTTGAATTTCGATCAGTCACCTATTTACCTCAAACTGAAATATCAAAATTATTTCATAATATATTTATCAAATAAATACGATATTTTTGAAATGTAGGCATGTTCTCATAAAAAATGAAAATAAAGATATTTTGTCATTTTTCTTCGAATCGACACCAATGCACCGATAAGTATGACAATTAGAAAGAATTGGATGAGCTTGAAGATCAAGCTTTGGATTCCTTAAGAACAAGTGGCCCTTAAATCTTAATGGTTCCAATTAGAGTTGTTCACGGTCTGTTTCGCTCCCAAACTACTAGTTTGGTTGGACCAAACTAAATTTTTTGTTTAGAAAAAATCAAGACTTAATCAGATCTTTACAATAGTAAAAATGGGACCAAACCAGACCATTACAATGGTGGAGATATTTATGCTACATGTCATGGCTTTTTAGGTTGGTTTGACATTTATTATGGATATTAAAATTGTTACAAAATATAACACAATGACATCATAAAAATTTTGTCTCCTTACATAAATACTCACATATTAAGGCAATGTTCTTTTCGCTGATTCAAATTTTGTAACAGTAAAAAACTCTCACACAACATCACATCTTAACTCGAATTAAAAAACCGGTCGTAAACCTAAAATTTTTCCCCTTTCTCTCTCTCACCTCACAAATCCCAACTGCATCCATTCTCTCTCTCTCTCTCTCTCTCTCTCTCTCTCTCTCTCTCTCTCTCTCTCTCTCTCTCTCTCTCTCCCTCTCTCTGAGCAAATGGCATGATCACCGCTCCTAACCTCCTATCACCATTGTCGTGGAAAAGATGCCCACTCTGCTATCGTCATCAACTCACCTTGTTCAAGGCAATCTCCCATCTAAACTCAGCAGAGGCAATCTCCTTCACGGCCGACGAGATATGCATATGCGATCTCCCCTCGGAGGCGTGCGAAGGAGATCTACCCGCACGTGGGGAGATCTGCAATCTCAGCTCACCCCGCGATGGCCACACACAGGCGCCGTCAAGATCTCCCCGGTACAAGGAGATGATGGCTATACAGAAGAAAAAATATATATTTACAATTAGAGATTTAAAAAGCGGTATAGACCCATATACAATCACAATTGACCTAGGGTTGTAAGATTTTGGTCCGAAACTGACTAACCCGCCGTATCCAATCCGATCCTACCCGAAATCATAGTTTTTATTTATTTATAATTTTTTTTTCAGATTAAAATAGTCCCAACCCGCACTATGCAGGTTGGGAGGCGGGGCGGGCATCATGTGACCCGATACACCCCGACTCGGCCGTGTGAAGAAATCCCTAATCACTTTCACTTCTCAGTCTCTCTCACTTCTCACTCCCTCGCCTCCCTTCCCCGCCGCCTCAATTCTCACTTCTCCATTCTCAGTTTTTCTTCTCACTTCTCAGTCTTGCCTCCCTGGCTCCCTCGCCTCCCCTCGCTACCGCCTTATTTCTCACTTCTCAGTTTTCAATTTTTTTTCTCTGTTCTCAGTCTCTGACTCTCCGTTCCTCTTCTTCTTCTCACAGTCGATGTATGCTGCCTCCGCTTCTTCTTCTTCTTCTTCTCTGTTATTGTATGGTAATTCAAGACGAAGCAGAGAAGAAGAAAAAGCCTTCTCGAGAGACCAAGTCTCTGCGGAGACACCCATGGCGACTTTTTCCGGTGGTGCTTCTCATGCTGCACCTTTCTGGTTCACCCCCAGAAGGTGCTTACTTTGCTTTCAATGTGTCATTGTTTGATTCTTTTGCTGTCTCTGTTCGTGGGTTTTTGTTTGTTATCCTTTTTGGTTGTTGGGAAATTATGGGAAAAGAAATAAGTTTATATATATATATATATATAGATATATATATATATATATATATATTAGTTTATTGGGATCTTTCGTATGTTCTCTCATTTGGGAATGGAGAAAATTTGAGATTTTTGGGGAAAGAACTTTGATTTTCTTTGTTTTCTCTGTTTCCACCAAATCGATCAACCTGCAAAACTAAGTCTACCCGAGGTAACTCAAAGGGTTACAGGGTTACGGGTTTGTGGGCCAATGGGACTGTTGCGGCTCAAATTTCTCTCATTCGGACCTGTGCGGCTTGGCCTAAATTTCAAGCTCAACCCAAGTCTACCCGGCCGAGTTACACCCATGGATTGACCTGTCAAACGTAGGCACAACCTAGTTTAGTCCAACATTGCAGACGATTCATCCAACCCAAAATAGTTCATGCTCATGGGTTGGGTTCGTCTGGCCCAAGTGTGTTATTTACTTATATATATATATATATATATATATATATATATTAAAACGACAGTAAAAATTGCAAGATTAATATAGTCTCTTTTCTATACACCAATTTTGATTTTTATCTATTAATATTGTGCATTTTCAAATTATAATATTGAGATATGCCATAAATAATTATGTTAGAAAAAGCACGTGCATCATTCAAGTAAATAGTTCAGAGATTATAGGTAAATCAGATATAAATTATTTTTTTCCCTATTTTAACACAGTCTTGAGTTTTTACATGTATTAATGAGATTATAACTCTATTTTCTTTTTATTTTTATTATTCTACTTGACTCCATTTAATAATATATATTCAATAATATTTTTAATTAAATATAAATAAATATTTAATAAATAAATATAATATTTTTTGAAACTATAATAAATAAATTTACAAAATGACAAATAAAAATTGTTTTCAAAATAAAATCATCTTTTAGTGATGACAAATCTCAAGGGCCGTCCCTAAAATGTAAATCGCACTTTGTTTATTTGTTTAAAAAAAAAAACGTTTTAGCGATGATAAATTTAAAAATGTCGCCGCTAAAACATTCAATTCACTTTATTTTTCTGACAGAGTAATGAATTATTAGCGTCTTAGCAACGAATTATTGATTGGTAATTAGCAACAACGTGTAATTAATCGCTAATTTTAGTGCTTGTCGTATTGCTAACGTCAATTAAAGCGATGACAATAGAACTTTTAGCGATAAAGATCTGTTTGTCGTTGTAGTAAGAACCCTGCTTTCAGGTTCTACTTGGTCAATAAACTGTGGTACATTTCTGTACGTTGACAGGCATTGGGATTTATTTTGTAAATGAAAATCTTCCTTTTTAGAACAAAAAATAAGAGCAAAAAAACAAAAAAAAAACAAAAATTGAAATACATTAAAACAGACTCTATCTTAAATAAATATAATTAGATAAATAAAGTTGGTTCGAGGGAACTTTAACCTCTAAATTGAGTTTTCGAGGAACTCGGACCTCCCAAAAGCATAAAATGCCAAAATAATTCATCCACACTTTCATACTTTCATTAGAGGTTCTTAAATAGAAAAAGATTACAAACTAACACACTCACCCACTAACCAAACATGCATAACCAACGTACACCCATATTTGTAGGAACAAACTAAACACTCCAAATAAACTATTTTGACTAATTCAAACCTAATATAAATAATAATAAAATCTAAAATAAATATTACAAAGCAAATAAATAATCTAATTAAGTAAATAAAATCCTAAATATTATAGAGCCGTAACAAATAATGAATGGGGCCAATGGATATACATACCTTTAATTGACAAGAACATGAAATCCAAAGTTACAAGGGAAAGCTCTAGTATGTACTGCTAGCAGTGGCTGTGGTGTTGGCTAATTTTGCACTATCTCTCTCAGCTTTCAACCCTCACTTATGGTCCCCAGCCATATATATAGCTGGTCCATCTCTTTGGCTTGTGTCCGTGGTTCACCCTACACACTGACCGTGACCTCTCTCTCTCTCTCTCTCTCTCTCTCTCTCTCTCTCTCTCTTCTCTCTCTTTCTCTCTCTTTCACAACATATCTTGATTAAGTTTTGTTTGCATGTATTTATTCCCATCTGTGCCACAGTTTAAATGATTTTGGTCCAATCACCCAACTTGCACAAAACTTAATTAATATTCCTTATCTCTTATGTTAAACCATTCGCATATAGCTTGAACATATATATAACACACAAACTACACAGTACACAGATATTATACATATTGCATATTTATTAATAGTCACCTGAATAACTATTGTAATCAATATATAAGAAATGTGTTGCTTGTTCAGAAATAAATGTTTATTAATAGTCATGCTAAATATTTTGCAAAAGAAAGTTAATGTGAATGGCCCCTACCACTTCTGGCTAGAGAACCAAGCCTGAAGCCACGCTCACGAACTCAGCGCCATATATTTCTCTCTCTTTTTTTTTTTTTTTTTTTTTTTTTTTGGTTTGGCGCTTGGCCAAAACTGCAGATCATTTTCACCCCCGCACCTAATTTGTCTATTTGCTATATTGTATAAGACTACCTTAAGCTAAATATAGAGCAGGGACCAATTTATCAATTGTTCGATGGTTACTTAATTTCCTTCTATTCACATCCTATAACTCGTTGAAATCGACCTTATATATTAGCAGTACTCTAAAGTACTATTTAGCTTAAATGATCTACATGTAAAGAGGTTAATTTTTTCATTTCAATTTGACCCTAAAAATATATACTCATAACCAATGCAGATATTCAAACACATTATGTACTAAATTAGATATAATTCTGACTAATTAATCATTCGTCTCTTGAATATCATATTGCCATAAAGATGTACAATCTTGTAATTACATTTTGTACAAAGTTTGTTTGATTCCTGGTTCTCTTTCTAAATTTGAATCAAACATATATTTCCAAGTGTTTCAGTCAATTGAAACTCCTGATCACCACACTTGAGCTATCAATATTAGTACGTATAGCAGTCTGTTGACTACTCGTCTGTTTTATGTTATATAGTTTACAAAATTGTACTCTTTATCTTGAACACGTAAAGTTCAAATAATTGCAACATTCTTATAGTATATACCAAAAACAGGGTTTGAAAAAGAATAATATATCTTATCCGCTTTTTCTTGTGTCTCATTTCCAGCCACTTGACCAGTGTGATATTACTAGTACGTAACAGAACTTCCATAGTCAAAATTTTGAACTTAGTATGTTTAATGACCTATCAGAACAGAATCATAGTTTCATATCCAAAAATGAAAGTAAAACGGGAATTTGGTAAAAATATAGCAGTTCAAATTGCAAAATACCATTAGTAATATATATATATATATATATACATAGTTTCATATCCAAAAATGAAAGTAAAACGAGATTTAGCGTAGTTTAACTTTTAGAATGGTGAACACAGTTTGAACTCGTGTTTGGTAAGCACGCAGTCCGAATTATATTCCCCATTTAAACTGAGTTAAACTGTCTAATTTAAAGTTTAGCTTCTTCTTAAGTTCAACCGTTCAAACCATATTTGAAGAATAATAGCCTCGTTCATTTCACCGATTCGAGTCTTCAGTTCTAGGTTTCTACAGTAAAAAGCTCTCAGAAAATGTCACATCTAACTTTTTTTTGCTACAATAAAAAGCTCTTTGAAAATGTCACATCTCAGCTCGAATTGAAAACTCGAATCTGCGAAGTGAATGAGGTTTACTCTCTTTGATTTTTCACCTACTAAATGCAAATTCGAATTTTATTCTTTATTCAGATTAGAATTTTAGTTGCCCGTCTAAACGCTAATTCAAATTAGAGTTTAAACTACACAGTTTGAATTTTTCTGCCCAAATAAAAAAATTTAAATCAACATAAGTTAAATTAGGGAACCAAACTGAACGTAAATCCACACTATGTATGACATTGTAAATGAGATCCACATTTAAGCCTACCTTAAGACGCAGAATCATATCCCATCGGCCCCAAATTCAAAAAGAAAGAGATATATAACTATATGTAATTTTAAAAAGAATATATAAATCCCAAAAAATGAGTAAATCAAATCTGACGTGACCAAAACGTATTCAAGTAACAAGTTCCAAGCTTGGTGGGGGCTGCCTTGAAGCTCTATCGTCCACACACAAAAACACAAACACAAACACACACACAGAGTCAGCTGCATGGTAAAGACTCTGGAAAATGTGAGCATCTAGGGAGTGGTTAATGTCACATTAACGGGGTCCATTTTTTCTTTGGTACCAAAATATTTAATGAAAAATGGCCATACTAGATCATGAGTAATCAATACTACTATACAACAAACCATATAGTCCACACCCAGTTCTGCTATATGTATAGAGACTTCTTCATTTTCCAAAATAATGTGTCCCTACTTTTAGTTGGATCCTATCCTTTTTTTTTTTTTTTCTCTCTCTCTTTCCACCACTAGTCGCCATAATAGACCCCAATTATGCCCTATTTGGATCCAATCACTATTTTCTCAAAGCCCATAGAGAGACTTTCAAAATAAATAAATAAATAAATAAATAAAAGAAACGAAAAAAAGAAAATCCACCACAACCACATGGCTACAGCATGGGCATCCACATGAGCGTGGGACCCACCAGGAGATTTTGCCACGTGGAACATACGTGTGACAATTGGTACGTACGTACGACGATGATCAAATTTTATCGTCGTCGATCGCCCACCAGTCCATATCAAATCGGTGCCATGCAAAAGCCAATTAGTACTATAAATTAATATGTGTGTATGTATATGTGTGTGTGCGTGGATGTAAATTTTTTGTCGTATGCGTATAAGTTATTAATGACTTTGTGGGCTATTTGGTGGGC